GCCTACAACTTAAATATCACTGGTGAAAATAACCTGCATAGACTCATGATGTCTGCACTACTGTCCTATAGTGACCTGCGACATGAGGGGACACGCACACAAACACACACACACACACACACACACACAAACACACACACCTTCATTATCGTCATTAACCTGAGAACGCGCGGACCACATTTCCTTCCGTAGACACTGCGTGGACACCGACGTGCTCCCGTGAGCCGCGCGTGGATCGTGTTTTCTCGCGTACGCTGCGTAAACCGCGCTAAAGGACTAAACCAGGTCTAAACCAGGTCTAAACCAGGTCTAAACCAGGACTAATCCAGAACTAAAACCAGAACTAAAACCAGGTCTAAACCAGGACTAAACCAGAACTAACACCAGGACCAAAACCAGGATTAATCCATTCCAGGACTAAACTAGGACTAAAGTAGGTCTAAACCAGGACTAAAACCAGTGATCTCATATATAAAGCATTTCTCTATCAATAATATTTTTAATATGGTTAAGGAAAGACTGGACTTTTTATTGTCTTTAAGTAGACAAAAGTTATTATGTTCAGATTTCCTCGTCTTTGCTACTTTACAGCAAACAGTTTCTTATTCATGGAGACTTGGGCTCAACAGCCAATTTGGAGAGATTTGTTAAACAATAAATGACTTTATAAAGTCACTTTTTTTGTTCTATATCAGTCTTTTGATCTGCCACAATAATGTAATAATGAATTTAAATGAAAATACCTCAAATTGAAGCTTTTCTCAGCAATTTTCAGGTGAGATTAAAATGAGATTAATTTGATTAATTAATTACAGCACTAGTATATATATATATATATATATAAAAAAAAAAAAGTGTTTCTCACCTTCCACAGTGGTAGGTCTCTCACCCTCATTGAGCTCGGGTCCTCTACCAGAGGCCTGGGAGCTTGAGAGTTCTGCGCAGTATCTTTGCTGTTCCCAGTACTGCACTTTTCTGGACTGAGATGTCCGTTGTTTTTCCCGGTATCTGTTGTAGCCACTCTTCCAGTTTGGGGGTTACAGCCCCGAGTGTCCGATCACCACAGGCACCACTGATGCCTTTACTTTCCAGGCTCTCTCCAGCTCTTCCTTGAGCCCCTGGTATTTCTCTAGTTTCTCGTGTTCCTTTTTCCTGATATTACCATCGCTTGGTACTTGCGATGTCAACCACCACGGCTCTATATATATATATATATATATGTGTGTGTGTGTATATATATATATATATACATATATATATATATATATATACACACATATATATATACGGTCCTCATGAGTGCTGGTGTTTTGTCATTGTCAGGATTCCCCACTTAGTGATAAATGCAAGTGTCTGTGTGTTTGTGTGTGTATGTCTGTCCACCATTCCACCATTTATGGACAGATAGTCACCAAATTTGGTACGTGGGTCAAGCCCCTGTGCCTGATGCGGCAAAAAAAAAAAGCTTGATGATCCGAGGTCATTTGAGGTCACACGGGTCAATTGAATGGTCACGCCATTATAAAGGATCGGCAATTTCGACAATTTCTGAACCATTTGTGGCCTAAAATATTCACCCAATCATCACACAAGTGGACACACTGGATGTTACAGGTTGAAACCGGTCAAGATCACCATGGTCATATATGTGTTTTTGGTCATTACTCCTTGAAGGATGGAGCTAGAGCAACAGGAGTGTCTCAAAATTTCAGAAAAAAGTATCATCTATTTATAATTCTATGCATTTGTATAGTCAAATATTCATAGTTTTCCAGATAATCACTAATTATAACAGTTCCTTTCTCTTCAGTGTTTGGGCGCCTGGACTGAACTTTTTTTTTTTTTTTTTTTTTTAACTTAACAAGACAAAAAAAAAAACCAATGTATATACAGTATAAGGTGCAGATTGGATTGTTGTTGCATCAATGCAAAGTCCAGTTCACAGTAATGGCAGGGGTGAGATATGGAAAATATACATACACATTCACACACATAAACACACATAAACACACATAAACATACTGAGACATGGGGGTGGTTTGCAAATGAACATACAGGGGAGCAGAAGGAATGAAACCAAAACTAAACAGAATAACAAAACAGAATATCATAAATTAAATAAAGCTATACTTTATTTTTATAGGTATTGTAAGTTTTAATTGCTTTTTTGTTTTGGACCTGTTTTATTGTCTGAAAGTATTGTTGGATTTCCTTTATTATATTGATGAATATTTGGTTTATTTTGAGACCATTTGGTTTTGTGTATGTGATATTTTGCCAGCATAATTAGAGTCTGAATGAAGAGTTGATCTTTGGGGATGGAGGGGCTGGTGAAGTAAAACGGGATGTCGCTTTCCCGGAGGCTGATCGAGTGTTTGGTTTTGGATTGGATGAGTTGTTGTATGTGGGTCCAGATGTTCTTACTGTATGTGCAGTACGCCTGGACTGAAGTGTTGCAAAGTCTGGAACAATACGGCGGCTAAGGAAGCTCTGAGTGGACAAAACAGATCAACTCTAAACAAAAAACATATTTCTCCACGGGGGCAGAACAATGTCTGTACCAGGGGTGTCAAACTCATTTTCACCAAGGGCCACATCTGGATCATGTTGTCATCAAAGAGCTGGTTGTAAAGTTAAGACTGTAACTGTAATATCAGTATGTTACAAATCTGTAAAAGTCTGTATTTCATTTTTCATTTCATATTTATTTTTGTTATTTTGATGTTCACATTACTCCTTCAGTAACATTCATGAAATAGCCATCTTTCTGCATCAATTTTTCTTTTCTTGGACATTTTTTGGGAAATTTGAGTTTTCTTGGCCTCTCTAGTGGCGAGATGCAGTCACTTCACGGGAAAGAACTGCGGTGCATTGTGGGAGATGTAGTAGTGGCACAAAGTCACAACATAATAATAAATTATACCTTTTTACCCCTTGTGGGCCACATAAAATGGCTTGGCGGGTCTATACAGTATATTACACCACCAGTAACTGACATATACTAGGCTCTGATAAATGACACTCAAGTTTCTTAGATCATTCTTTTAATTTTGAAAATATCGTTTTTTTTTTCTTCTGGTGTACTTTTATAACAAAATATCCCTATAATGTAAAAACTATTTGTCAAATATATAAAGTTTGCACATGTATGAGTCGAGTAAAAGTAGATGAAGAGATCTGTATGGAGTAAAAAAAGCCTTCAGAAATATTCATGTGCATAGGATAGAAATCCGGGCATATTTGACTCTAGTTGAGCATAAAATAAATATTTGTAGACTGTCAAATGAGTCCAGTCGAACATAAAATGTGTGTATTTTATCCATCAGAATACGATTTTAAGTTACATCAAGAACTGCAACCACAAAATGAAAATTTACAATTACGCTATCTTCAGTACGAATAAGAATTCACAGATATGACTTTACTGTCAGAAATACGACATCACTTCACAGACATATTTATTGAACAGAAGAAACATCGATCGAGATGCTGGACTTTTGCACCGCATACAGCCTAAACCAGGACTAAACCAGGACTAAAACAGGACTGAACCAGGACTAAAACAGGAGTAAACCAGAACTCAATCAGGACTGAGTGTCGGGACAGGTCTCCATCTCTCTCAAGACCGAGGTTAGTCCTGATTTAATCCTGGTTTAGTCTCTTTAGTTCTCCTCCCAGTCCTCCAGATCTGTCTGTTGTACCCCCTGAATATCATGATCTGGGTCAAGTGTTCAACAAACACAAAGCACTTTCTCTACCTCCACACTATGATTGCGCAATTGATCAATTGATGATTAAATGTGTTTTCCAAAATGTAAATATATGTTGCCTACATTTTGTTTTTGAGTCAGGCATCAGTGTGGATAGCTCCGTGTTTACACGGGCCAGTGTTGTGTACCACTGGAGTGGACCCCAAAAACAGACTCAGAACGAGGGCAAAAATGCAAAAAAGAAACAAAGGTTTATTGACGAGGCAGGATAGGCAGTGGAGGAGCGAGGAGCCAGGAGCTGGAATGCCGGAGTCTTCCACAGCGGGAACTAGGAAATACAAAAATGCAGGTAAGTAACAGGAAGCGACGTAGAAACAAAAACTGAGCCGACTGGTAGATCACCATCAGGTAGACGAAACAATCTGGCAGAGTCTGGCTGGAGAGCTGGGCCTTTGTAGCAGGCTTGATTGCAGATGGAGAGCAGGTGCTCCCAGCAGACTCCGCCCACATCCACATAAGGAAGACTCAGGTCACAGGCAGGGGCGTGACAGCCAGGGCCCATTCCCTCGACGTGCTGAAGAAGCTGAGGTTTATTTGGATTGGCTGTTTTACTACTTAGACTAAAAGTTAGTGAAGTCAGTTTGATCTAAAATACTGGAGATTGCATCAAGAGCCCCAGAGGAAGATAGTTTTGGGGAAAGAGGGACTAGAAACATGTCACCACTTTACACCATTGGACAAGCCAGTGTTTGGGTTCTCTGTGTGATTATGTCAAGCTGTGATTTGTGTACAGTAGTGTTGAGATTTTGCTCCACCCTCAGGCTGCATCAAGATGTTTCATCAGGAAGTATCTGATGTGCTGTTTTGATTTGTTGATTCGACAAGAACTATTCTGAGTCCAATCAAACTTGTGTCTGACATGATTACATTAAATATACTTTCTTCACAATGATGTCAGTTCTATTGCACTTTTGCCTAGAAGTTGACTGGTGCTGACTATGATAAGAAGGTTATCTAAATATATAAGTAAGAGTGACCCAAGTTCTCTAACACCATAAAATAGATGTATGCCTGCCTTGTACTTATAATCTATGACACCAGTGGATCATTATTTTTATATGAAATAAATCAGTCAAATCCTTCATGTCCAGTGCATGTACATTTGTCTCTCTTTTATAAAAATAAAATATCATTGCAGTGTATTTCATCAGGTCTGAACAACACATTTGAGGTAAAGAATATTTATTTACACTTATTTACACGGTACATGGGGTTGAATACCATGCACTTTTAGACCAGGCTCAACCAGGGATGGTGGCTCAGCTGGTCCAAAGGGATCCTCTGGTTGGGGTCCAGTGCCAGACAGGCCCGCAAGAAGTCACTGCACTCTGCAAAAACAAACACACAAGACAAGTTTTACAGTGTACACTTCATAGTTGCTCTTTCCACTGTGAGTTCTTAAGTTCTTAAGTGACAAAAACTTCTATGGTCCGTTCTGTAGATACTGTTTGTGCAGTGTTTAAGGGTGAACTGTGTCATCTATCTTCTCAAATGGAGCTCCGACATCTTGAATGTTTTATCTAATGACATGAAGACTAAATCATATCTAAATAATGTGTGTGTTTCTCTGCTCGTACCTTGGGACACACCACTCAGACTCAAGAAGGAAATGTATGGAAAACCCTTCATGAAATCTCTTGTGGTGAACCCTTTGTCACTCTTAGAGCGCAGCAGTTCGTGAAGTAGCGCCCCCGTCTGCCACACTGAGGTAGGAGCAGCGCGGTATCCTTCAGTCCCATAGGCCTCAGGAGGTGCATACTCTGGTGTTCCTGAAAACCACAAAGAAACACATAGAAATAATCGTGCATCTTTAGTGATCTTGTACTTTAACTACTACTGCTGCTATTACTACTACGTTGGTTAGGAATATTACCTTTGAAACTGTAGAAGGGCTCTGATTGGGCGCCGCAGCCACAGCCAAAGTCTATGACCCTGATCCTTGGGCCAGACTCTGTCGCCTGAACCAGCAGATTTTTCATATTAATGTCTCTATGGAAAATCTGTTTTGAGTCAAGGTCCAGCAGCGCGTTCACCACCTGACGGATCAGCTCCTGCCGGACAATAACAAGAACGTGGATTAGAAAAGTAACTGAAATGTATTACAAATGGCATTAATTACCTTAGCCAAGGAGGTCATGTTTTTGCCGGCGTTTGTTTGTTTGTCTGTTTGTTTGTCTGTTAGCAACATAACTCAAAAACTTATGGACCGATTTTGATGAAATTTTCAGGATTTGTTGGAAATGTGAAAAGGAAGAACTGATTTCATTTTGGGGGTGATCTGGAAGAAATCCTGGATTCTGGATCACTTTGAAGTTTTAGTTAACATTGTGGTAAATGGGGCCAAAAATTTAGTTTCTCAATATCTCGATTAATTATTGACCAAACCCCATGAAATTTGACTCAGGGATGGACAATGGGATCCTCTTTCATATTCCAAATTGAAAGATACGAGACAAATATTTAGGGAAAACACAATTAATATGAGGGGGACTGTAGTCCTTGGCAGAGGTCTGCGCTCTCTGAGTGCTTTTCTAGTTATATATGAGATGAAAGAAGAGATGCTGTTCTCTGCTACATAGGCTTATTTACTACAAATTTATGACACCCAAGCGTATGGATATTTTTTCATGTAAGTTTGTTGTTATTTTTCTGTTTTAAGTTTTTTTTTTTTTTTTTTTTTTGCAGACCTTTGCGTGAGCTTCTGTCAGGGGGCCATTCTCCTGATGGTAGTCAAACAGGTCTTGGGATGGGGTGGGTCTCTCCATCACCAGAACCACCTCCTGGCCTTCATCCTGGAGGTACCAGTCGAGCAGAGTCACCGAGGGGTTCAGTCCGACCGAGTGCCGATCCGGAGCAGCTTTGTTCATCAGGACGGCCTCAGAGGGGACGGTCAACACTTCATTTTCAATGCTCTAAAAGAGGAAAATGTAAACAAAACAGATTATTCCACAATCAGAGACAAATGCAGTGTCAGATATTCATGGGGTGGTACTAGTGACTTTTGTTCAATCTGATACAGTAAAACTATGGCAAGTATCACAATATTGATCTGATTCCTATGAGTTATGATCCTTCTCTTATGACTTTTAAATGCACTAACTGAAATATAAACAGTGTCTTTCAAAGTTTTACCAAACATAAATAAAAAAAATTTAAAAATGTGATTTTTGATACCTTCATTAGTTGGGAGGGAATTTGTGAAATATCATGAGGATTGTGCACTTCTGGAAAAGTTTTGGATTTTTAGCAGGGTGTTTAGGTATGGACCTAAGGTTTTTAAAAATCCATGGATACAAGTTGGAGTCACCCCCTAGTGGCCGATATGCATACAATCCAAAATGGCCCCCGGTCAGGCCTCTAAACCCATATGTGAAATGAAATCAAGTCAAATGAGGTGCAGAAATTGTTTCATGGTTCTATAAAATGCTCCAGAATGTGTTCGACCAAATGTTGAAGAGTCTACTGCAAAATGTCACAGTCCTGGGTCACCAAATTGTGCTGCAGTGGAGTACACAGGTCACCAAATTCCGCCGGGGTGCCTCTCCCTTGCTTAACCGGGGAGGGGGCTTTAGAGTGGGTGTACGTGTTCGGGAGGTGCACCAGGTCTTGTCTAGAGGAACTGGATTGCTTGTATCAAACAGTAGGAAGTAGAAAGTAGAAAAAATACATTCTACTACAAAGTAAGACTAAAGGAAGCAGAGATATAACCTTTTCTTGTTTGGACAGGGGCTATTTTGGATTTTATGCACACCGGCCACTAGGACGGCATCACAGCTTGTACCTAACACTCTGCCAAAAATCCAAAACTTTTCCAGAAGTGCACGATTTTGATGAATTCCCTCCAGGCTACATCATATTCCTATTTGGTATCAGTCCATTCATCACTAATAGAAAAGAGCTGTGAGAGGTGATAGTAGCGCACAGACTTTTTAGTGGATACTGATGTCCATTATTTGTCTGGTTATTTGATGATACCGATACAACGATTTTAAAATCCATAAAATGTTCCAAAACAACAAAAATTTCACTTACCACCAGAGAAAATTCCACATTGTCCCTCTTCATGTGTTTAATGGCCACCTGAAAATCAGACATTAGAACATGATTCTATAATGGAGTCAAGTGAAAATGTGAAATTATAGGGACATTCATAGATGTTATAGATTCTATTCTGAATTTAAAGGTCTCCAGGAAGAAACTCCATCTCTATGGAGACTGACCCTCTACATGAAAAATCACTTGAAGTCATTTGAACTTAGATTAACTGTGCATTTGAAGTTTTGTAAATGATAAAAAGTGTATATATCTTACCGACTGTTGGTCTGAGATCCGGACGCCGGCAAACACCGACCCAAATCCTCCCTCTCCGAGCTGCTCATGCTCCTCGTATGTCAGCGCAAAGTCACTCACTGAGTTCATTTTACAAAAAAAATATATATTATTAGTATGATCATCCAATATGACATTACAACAGCCATTCACACATAGACAAGGGAGCAAAGTGTCTTGCCCAAGAGCACATTAACAGTATTAGTTAGGTTTAGTTGTAGCTATGATGTATATGTTTCAGTCCTGGTTTGGTCCTAGATTAGTATTTTGGTCCTGTTGTAGTCCTGGTCTAGTCCTGGTTTAGTGAATACATCTAAAGATACAATAGTTCTCTGTGGATTCTGCCTGTACCTTTGGCAGATTCGTCAGGACGAGGTTTTTTGGGCTCAGGTTTGAACCCCTCGTCGGTGGATTTTCTTTTTTTGGTAGTTTTGCTCACGCTCAGTTCACAACCCAAGCTGTGAGCGATGGAAGGAGTGCAGTCTGAAAATACAATGATTACTTCTGTTACAATGACAAAATGGAACAAGTGGATTTGACTTGATCCAAATACAACGACTGCCTTGGTTTAGTCTTGGTTTAGTCCTGGTTTAGTCCTGGTTTAGTCTTGGTTTAGTCTTGGTTTAGTCTGGTTTAGTCTTGGTTTAGTCTTGGTTTAGTCCTGGTTTAGTCCTTGGTTTAGTCTTGGTTTAGTCCTGGTTTAGTCTTGGTTTAGTCCTGGTTTAGTCTTGGTTTAGTCTTGGTTTAGTCCTGGTTTAGTCCTGGTTTAGTCGGTTTAGTCTTGGTTTAGTCTGGTTTAGTCCTGGTTTAGTCTTGGTTTAGTCCTGGTTTAGTCCTGGTTTAGTCCTGGTTTAGTCTTGGTTTAGTCCTGGTTTAGTCCTGGTTTAGTCCTGGTTTAGTCCTGGTTTAGTCCTGGTTTAGTTGACTCTCGTACCTTCTTCTTGGAGCTTCGTCCTCTTAGTTCTGTCCAGTGTTTCTCCTTCGAGTGTAGATTTTTTGGAGCAGGACGTTTTGGACTCAAGGTCAGATTTGACTGAGTGTCTGGATTTTCTTTTCCTGGTTTGGAAAAGGCTCAGTCCAGTTGTAAAGACGAGCCTGGAGCCTGTGAACACATCATGTCATTGTTATTACTTGGTTACTACATGTTTATGTGTAAGGATCAAATAGACTCATGGAAGCACTTAAAACCACAGATGGGTCGTTTCATCTACATTTACTTGAGGAACTTCTTGACAAAACTCTACATCTCAGAGTAGTTTTCCGACTTTTTACTGTTACTTGTGTACTTTTTTCTTTCACATACCTTGCACGATCGCTTGGCTGACGTCAAAAATGTACTGCGTCCACGGTGCCATTGTTTTGAAATGACAAAAAGGCAATGAATTCGATAAAAGTGTCTGAGCTGCTGAGATCCGTGTGTCTCCTGTGCTGTCTGAGAAGTTGTGACCTGTTGGAGCTGAACTTACACAGAAAGTGGCAGAACAGCAGTGATGTCATTTAGAATGTTGCCGCTGGCAACGGCCAATAGGAGCCCACGGAATTTTGATGATCATGTGATCTGTATATTTGTTTTGATTTAAATGACACATTAATGCACATCACTATCGCGGTTATTAGCCATATCTGGGTTCTAGCAGTACTCGGGATACTGTGTATACATGTGCTCTGAGAAACCAGGACGCTCATATCACTGTGTACATGATCAAATGGAGTGTCCCGGTTTCTTGACATAATCTTACAAATGCACAAGTGCAAAAATTAACTTAATTTAATAAACCAGGGAAAATACAAACAACCATGATCCTTTAGCACAGGACACAACTCAGTGGAATATGAGTGTTCTTTGTGTGACAGAGGATGTGCTGATGATGGTGAGTCTGTTCTGTGTGTGTATCGTGGAGGAGATGGTTCATGTTTGAACTTTTCATACGTGTGCAGGTCATACGAGTGCAGATTGTTCATGTGCAGGTTTATTCATTTCACTGATTTATGGTCACTTTATTTATGTTGGTCACTTTATTTATGTCACTAATGTTGTGATGAAAAGACTGAAACGTGTTTGTCTTTTGCATGTGCACACTTTTTGTTGCAATAAGCTTTATACTGCGTATACATGCCACAGTATCCCGGTTACTATCGGAATATACCAGCTACAGTATCCCGGTTTCTCATAACTTGGATCTGCCTTATCCAGGATACTGAAACAGGGATACTGTGTGTACATGCACCATGACCAAACCAGGACACTCAAAAAAGTCAATTCTAACCAGGACACTGATGTGCTGTAAACTCACTCACTGAGTTCAGCAGAGTTTAAACATGAAGTTCATGAACTTATGACCTGGTCCCGAAGGGTTGACCAGGTTTTGTATTCACCCTGTGTGTGTGTGTGTGTGTGTGTGTGTGTGTGTGTGTGTGTGTGTGTGTGTGTGTGTCTGTGTGTCGGGGTGTATGTGCGTGTGTGTCTGTGTGTGTATGCATGTGTGTGTGTATGTGTGTGTGTGTCTGCGTGTGGGTGTGTGCATCTATGATGACATGATGATGAGAATGTGTGTGTTGTGTGAGTGAGTGTGTATGCGTGTGTGTGTCTGTGTGTGTGTGTGTGTGTGCGTGTGTGTGTGTGTGTGTGTATGCGTGTGTGTGTGTGTGTGCCTGCGTGTGTGTCTGTGTGTGTGTGTATGAGTGAGTGTGTGTGTGTGTCTGCGTGTGTGTATGCGTGTGTGTGTGTGATGATGTGTGTCTGCGTGTGTGTGTCTGTGTGTGTGTGTGTATGCGTGTGTGTGTATGTGTGTGTGCGTGTGTGTGTGTGTATGTGTGTGTGTGTGTGTGTGTGTGTGTGTGTGTGCTGCGTGTGTGTGTGTGTGTGTGTGTGTGTGTATGTGTGTGTGTGTGTGTGTGTGTGCGTGCGTGTGTGTGTGTGTGTGTGTGTGTGTGTGTGTGTGTGTGTGTGTGTGTGTGTGTGTGTGTGTGTGTGTGTGTGTGCGTCTATGATGACATGATGAGGAGAATGTGTGTGTTGTGTGAGAAGAGTGTGACCCTCCCGACTGCACTGGAAAGTGAATTCAACACAGTAAAAGATTTGTCTGTTGTTTCCTGACATTTGTGACGATGATGAGTCAAAACATTAGTTTGAAATTGGAGGTGTAACTTTTCAGTCTGACAGATAAACTGGGTTTGTTTTTACTGTTTAAGAACCATAAACCAAAACTAAACATTATTGGTCATAAAAAAATCTCATTGTTGAAGCTTTAATTTCCAGTGAAAGGTACAAACAGTGAAACACATTTACAGAAAAATACACAAACATTTTAAAACAAACATCAAGTATAAATACAGATACAGTATTTCCTGAATACAGCCGGGACGTCCTGCTACATCATGTCAGGTGCACATCCACGTGCACATCCACGTGCACATCCACGTGCACATCCACGTGCACGGCTTCACATCTCCATAAGAAACATATGGGGCTTTTCTTTGGTTTAAACTTCACTTCACTCAAAACTATTGAACAGATTTAACATCAAAAAAGGGATCACCTGAACACAGATCACGTGGAAAAGGGGAGTTTTTTTCATTAAGGCAAAATGTGAATCCATTTTTTTCCACAGACTCCAGCAGAGTGGATGTGACGGGAGAAGACGTTCACTGTCAAATATCAGTGAGGTGAATACACGAGGATTCTAGATTTGAGCAGTTCTGTGTCAAATGTAAAAGAATCTAAACTAAACTAAACTAGTCCAACCTACTCAAATCTTTAATGAGCTTAATGTTCATTCATCATTAGTGTTCAAATAGAATATTCACTTCTGAATGCTTCATTGTCCCTTCAAATATAAAGACTCAAAAGTGTTTAAACAGCAGAAGAAGAAAAAAACAACATATGTCCACTCGTCCTCCTCGTGCACGTACAGTAGTCATAGTAGGATTAGCTTTAGCTCTGCTCTGTGATGTGTCGTGTCTGCACTGGTCCAGTCATTGGGAGCAGGTTTGCCCCGTGGCCCCTGAGTGCGCTGCCCCTGCGCTCGTAGCTTCACTCGTAGCTTCACTCGTAGCTTCACTCGTAGCTTCACTCGTAGCTGAGCTGTTAGCTGTGGCTGTTGTCTGTGCGCTGCTGCTTCAGGGTTTGGTACACTTCCTGCTCCTGACTCAGTCTTTCAAAAAACGGGATCAAGTCGAGAAGTTCAGTGTCCGAGACGTCATCGAACCACGAGGCCACGGGAACCTGAGGGAACAGAGAGGACAACATGAACATCTGATCTGAGGAACTCTGCTCCTCTGCATCTGCTCCTGTCTGCACCTGTCTGCACCTGTCTGCTCCTCACTGCTCCTCTGGTTTTGCTTATCTGTCTCTGCTCCTCTAGCTCTGCTCCTCTGGCTCCTCTGACTCTGCTCCTCTAGCGCTGCTCCTCTGGCTCCTCTGACTCTGCTCCTCTGACTCTGGCTCCTCTGACTCTGGCTCCTCTGTCTCTGCTCCTGCCTGCTCCTGTCTGCTCCTGTCTGCTCCTGTCTGCTCCTGTCTGCTCCTGTCTGCTCCTGCCTGCTCCTGTCTGCTCCTGTCTGCTCCTGCCTGCTCCTGTCTGCTCCTGTCTGCTCCTGTCTGCTCCTGTCTGCTCCTGCCTGCTCCTGCCTGCTCCTCTGTACTCACGGCGTTGTCCGGGTGGAAGATGTAGGACACGGGGGAGTTGTCTATGATGATGACTCTGCTCAGGTCTCGTCCCAGGCGGCTCAGGTCTTTGACGTAGTTTCCTCGGTGGAAGACACAGGCCTCTCTGAAGAGTCTGGACGTGAAGGCACCAGAGGCGTCCAGGAGATCGGACACTGGGTCTGCGTACTGAGGAAGAGGAGCAGACAGCAGGTGAGAGGAAGAGGAGAGAATTTAAAGAGAGAGGTATTTGACTTCTTTTTCCTTTTATTGTTTTGATATATTCACCAAAACAACAAATGAACACATTTTATGAACTTTCATTTTCTCCCCTCCCTTTGCTCTCTATGCTCAGTCGCTCCACCTTCAGAGCACTATCACAGCTTCATCAGCGTGCATCAGATGAAGGGCAGAGGTCTATGTAACTCTACAGGAGATTCACTGTTTTGAAAGAAAATTACAAACTTCTGCTCCACAAATGTTTCTCGTTCTTTGTTTGAGATCGGCTCCACAAACTTGTCAAATAAATCTTATGTCTTAAAGTCCTTTCAGCTGAAACACTCACGTCTTTGGGGTTGAATAATGACTAAGGTTGTCCCAATCCGATAACGTGACTGCGGACTCGATCCGACTCGGACATTATGTGCCGATCAGGTATCGGATAAATAATATACGTATCTCACACATAGAGCACACAGGACACAACAGTTTTTCCGAGGCCTGGGATTTGCTGAGGGACGTCCAGTCAGCGTGACTGTCTGTCCCAGCGCCTGCTGTACTAGAGGAGCACTTACGCTGTGCTCGGGCACTGTTACCTGGGGTTCTGTGGTCCGTGTTCACACCTGCGCGGTCGATGGCGATTTGTTTGCACTGTTTGTTGCAAACAAAACAAACAGCGGCATGAAGTGTGTATTGAGCGGTGAGACTGATGTTGCGGTGTGTGCCCTGCTGTGGGTTTGTGGATGTGGGGGCGGTGCGGGGGAGAGAGGCTGTGGGGTTTCTGTCATCTCGTTTTTATTTGGTAAGATTTTGTATTATTTGGATCATAGACGAGCATAAATGTTTCAAATGTTATGCACATGCAAACATATAATATCAAAAATACAAAGTGTAGATTGTGCGGGTGTGTGAGTCGAGTCTCAGGTCTGATCTGGTTCTGGTTCCTGTTTTGTCCAGTTCATTAAGTTTACTAAGTTACTCATTCCAAGACCAGACTGTGAAAAGTCAAGATTTTCAACAATGATGGTTCATGGTTAGAAAAGTTAATAAAAAAAAATTTAGTTTTGGACATTTGATTTTTCACACTAAGTTCAGCCCAGATACTACACATGAAATCAACACAATCTGATCCCCGCACACATCCTGGATCTTATTCTTTGCTCTTAGTTCATTTTATAATGTTTTATAGAAGTATCGGATCGGGACTCGGTATCGGCAGATACTCAAAATCAAATGACTTGGACTAGGGGGCAAAAAATGTGATCGGGACATCCCTAATAATGACTCCACTTTCTGAAGCGACTTGACTTTCATTTATTTCTCCTGACAGAGAAGACGCTGAACTTTGTGCCAGTTTTAGTTTCACGTGGACAGGTCCAGCAATGACAGAGATATGAACCATAAACAAGGTCAACACATCTGACAGTTCCACACAAACTCCTCCTGAGAGCTCGGAACTCGGTCTCCAGCTGATACAGAGGACATGTGACCTGCACACACATGTGCAGTTCTGTCAGCACGTGTGTCCTGTCTCGTATCATGTCAGCATGTTGCACATTTCAGACTCTCTCAGGGGGCGGGGCTAGGTGTGTGTGGATGTCAGGCCCCCAAAGTTTGGGCCATTTCTTCTCGTCATTTAGCACTCACTATTTAACACACATGGCTCTTTAAAGGTTGTATGAAGGATTTTTTTTTTTTTTTATTTCAAATTGTCAATGAAAGTTTAAAATACCATTACAGAGACACAGCAGCCTTGTAATTATGATGACCAAAAAAAAAAAAAGAATGAAAATCTATCAACTATGGGCGTAGTGAGGCCACAGAAACATCAGCCAATAAAAAACGAGGCTCCCTCATTTTCTACTGGCTGTTAGGTTGTCAATCAAACTCCCTACGTTTCTAGTGTAACGGACTCGCAGGCGTGCGGGGATTATGTGGTTTATGGAGCGGTTCTTGGAGGCTTTTTCAAACTGTCGCTTCCTCACAGTTCGCTTAAAGTTTGTTGAAGATGAGACGAGAATCCAGGACCAGTTCGCCGCAAAAGAAAGTCGGTTTTTGAGGTCACTGAAGGAAGAAGAGAAGGGGAAAATGAGCAAAGCCAAACTGAGGTGATTCTTCGAGGTTCCTCCCAGCGATTGTGCGAAGGAAGCAGGCGAAGGGTCTAAAAACTGACGCATCGGTCGCTAAATTATTTCTAGACAGGTCACTTCAACAGTAATTCTGAACGCACACTGGCTGTAAACAAGCGTGATTTCTAGAGTAAAGAGGCGGGAGGAGGTGTTTCTACTGAGGAGCTGTGGAGGAGGAAGGTAGTGTCACGCATGCACAACATTTGAAAAAGGACTGTCGCTGTATTTCACTTCCCTTTAAAAATCCTCTATACAACCTTTAAGACGTATCTCACTCACTAATGTTGATGTTAGCAGCAGAACTTCTTTTATCACGCAGCAATGAACTATTTTAGTGCTGAAGAGTTCCTCTGTCCCCTCAGCCTTATGATCCCTCTTTTCTTAGTTTTTTTTTTTTCTTTCCAAAATTAGGTCCATGTTCCCATATTTCCTTCACCAGCAATTTGAGTCAGATTTTATCCCCATTTCTCCCAATTTGATCGTCAATTTCACCCAAACTATTCTCCAGCAACAGTTGACTACAGATGCGATGTAGAGGTGATGGTGCAAAGAAACCGAGGTTGAAATGACTCTGAATCATCCCTTTAAATGTGGTATAAAAATAAAAATGACCAAAATCTGAGAAAAATCTCAGAAATAAGAAAAACCGTAGAAATGAGGGAACATAGAGCTAGAGTTGTGGGAATATAGAGCTATGGGAACATAGAGCTGTGAGAACATAGAGTTGAGGGAACACAGAGCTGATGGAACATATAGCTAAAGGAACATAGAGCTGTTGGAACATAGAGCTGTGGGAACATAGAGCTGTGGGAACATAGAGCTGAGGGAACATAGAGCTGTGAGAACATAAAGCTGTGGGAACATAGAGCTGTGGGAACATAGAGCTGTGGGAACATAGAGCTGTGGGAGCATAGAGCTGAGGGAACATAGAGCTGAGGGAACATAGAGCTGAAGGAACATAGAGCTGAGGGAACATAGAGCTGTGAGAACATAGAGCTGAGGGAACATAGAGCTGTGAGAACATAGAGCTGAGGGAACATAGAGCTGTGGGAACATAGAGCTGTGGGAACATAGAGCTGTGAGAACATAGAGCTGAGGGAACATAGAGCTGTGGGAACATAGAGCTGAGGGAACATAGAGCTGAAGGAACATAGAGCTGTGAGAACATAGAGCTGAGGGAACATAGAGCTGAAGGAACATAGAGCTGCGGTAACATACAGCTGAAGGAACATAGAGCTGAGGGAACATAGAGCTGTGAGAACATAGAGCTGAGGGAACATAGAGCTGTGAGAACATAGAGCTGAGGGAACATAGAGCTGTGAGAACATAGAGCTGTGAGAACATAGAGCTGTGGGAACATAGAGCTGTGGGAACATAGAGCTGAGGGAACATAGAGCTGAAGGAACATAGAGCTGAGGGAACATAGAGCTGTGAGAACATAGAGCTGAGGGAACATAGAGCTGTGAGAACATAGAGCTGAGGGAACATAGAGCTGTGAGAACATAGAGCTGAGGGAACATAGAGCTGAGGGAACATAGAGCTGAAGGAACATAGAGCTGTGTGAACATAGAGCTGTGTGAACATAGAGCTGAGGGAACATAGAGCTGTGGGAACATAGAGCTGTGAGAACATAGAGCTGTGAGAACATAGAGCTGTGAGAACATAGAGCTGTGAGAACATAGAGCTGTGAGGAACATAGAGCTGTGAGAACATAGAGCTGTGAGAACATAGAGCTGTGAGAACATAGAGCTGTGGGAACATAGAGCTGTGAGAACATAGAGCTGTGAGAACATAGAGCTGTGAGAACATAGAGCTGTGAGAACATAGAGCTGAGGGAACATAGAGCTGTGAGAACATAGAGCTGTGAGGAACATAGAGCTGTGGAGAACATAGAGCTGTGGGAACATAGAGCTGTGAGAACATAGAGCTGTGGGAAAATAGAGCTGACCCTAACACACAGACAGTGGCTCTTTCTGCACTCAGTGCATTCTGTGTACATCCTCTGTGTGCAGAAATAAATAATGTGTCTTTAGAGACTTGAGGGAGGGAGCATAGACTTTGTGGGAAGCACTCGTGCCTCACAGCAAGAAGGTTTTGGGTTCAATTCCCCCAAGTCGCCCGGCTCTTTCTGTGTGGAGTTTGCATGTTCTCCCTGTGTTTCCCACATTAACCCAAAACATGCTACAGGTCTCCAGGAAGAACAGCTGATGGAGGTCAGTTAAATACAATCAGTCAATTCAAATACTGTCCCACTTTAACTCTGTGTTTTAATAATATTCAACTTGTTTTTGCTGTTATAAGGCGACTCTGAGTGTCCAGAAAGGCGCTTAATAAATAAAATGTATTTTTTCTTATGTAATAATATTATCATATAGATATGGACAACGCTTTAACCACCTCGTTCCAAACAGGAAGTTCTCATGTGGCTCTTCCGGCTCCTTCTGACTCTGGCTCCCATTGACTTCCATTAGAATATTGTGGCTTCTCTCTCTATCTGCTGCTGTGAGCCTCGTCATTTAGGTCTGAAATGTTATAAGTCTTTATGTTATTAGTCTTAAATATTAATCTGCTCTACATGATCCTGTTTTTTTTTTCTCTGCTATTTTGTCCATTAAAAAAATCCTGTTCCTAATCTAGAGCCAGTCTTTGAATTTGCTCCTGTAAACGTGAGCATCAGTTCACTCAGTGCACATGTTCACTGTGTGTGTGTGTGTGTGTGTGTGTGAGGTGTTACCTTGGATAAGCTGGCGGTGAAGAGCACACACTCGAACAGCTCTCCCATCCTCTGCAGAAACTGGTCCACGTGAGGCCTCTTCAGAACATACACCTGGAGGTCACACACACGTTTCATGTAGTAGAGTCAAAACAGAGCACGATAAACACTCACTCTGGACTGTTGATAATCGCCATAGCAACAGTTGTGGGGGCTACGGACACGGCTAATCCACCAGACGTCGCTGCACATGAAGTGAGCAGCTCTGTTTGGTTTGTGGATCAAGATATGAACATTAATAAATGCTAGAGCTACCAGCAGGTTTGATTGACAGCACTGGTTAGTCCATGTCCACAATTTGTGGTTCAGCCATGATTCTGTCCTGGTTTAGTCCTGGTTTAATCCTGGTTTAATCCTGATTTAATCATGTTTTAGTCCTGGTTTACTCATGTTTTAGTCCTGGTTTAGACCTGGTTTAGTCCTGGTTTAGACCTGGTTTAGTCCTGGTTTAGTCCTGGTTTAATCCTGATTTAATCATGTTTTAGTCCTGGTTTATTCATGTTTTAGTCCTGGTTTAGACCTGGTTTAGTCCTGGTTTAGACCTGGTTTAGTCCTGGTTTAGTCCTGGTTTGTTCACGTTTTAGTCCTCGTTTAGACCTGGTTTAGTCCTGGTTTAGTCCTGGTTTAGACCGGGTTTAGACCTGGTTTAGTCCTGGTTTAGACCTGATTTATTCACGTTTTAGTCCTGGTTTAGTCCTGGTTTAGACCTGGTTTAGACCTGGTTTAGTCCTGGTTTAGACCTGGTTTAGTCCTGGTTTAGTCCTGGTTTAGACCTGGTTAACTCATGTTTTAGACCTGGTTTAGACCTGGTTTCCCCATGTTTTAGTCCTGGTTTCCCCATGTTTTAGTTCTGGTTTTGTCTTGGTTTAGTCCTGGTTTACTCCTGGTTTAGACCTGGTTTAGTCCTGGTTTAGACCTGGTTTAGTCCTGGTTTAGACCTGGTTTAGTCCTGGTTTAGACCTGGTTTAGTCCTGGTTTAGACCTGGTTTAGACCTGGTTTAGTCCTGGTTTAGACCTGGTTTAGACCTGGTTTAGACCTGGTTTAGTCCTGGTTTAGACCTGGTTTAGACCTGGTTTAGACCTGGTTTAGACCTGGTTTCCTCATGTTTTAGTCCTGGTTTCATCAGAGTCTGAAATAGGCTCCTGCTGTCCAAGTCTGTCACAGTTTTCTGTCTAGAGCAGTCACAGCTGACAGAAATATTACACCCACTCCTCTTCACTCACACTGATGACAGTGTGTCACTGAGCAAGACACTTCACCCACATTACCCACACCATGTGACTGAAGACAAGGAGTGGTCAGTAAACAAATACACTCGTGCTGCCCAACATGTTTTTTTAATGGGCACATACTGCACTCCTGTATTCTGCTCATGAACATGTTTGCTGTTTTGAGGGTTGACATCATTAAAGTACAGAGGACAGGTTTTAATGTCTGTCTAATTGTGACTGGGTTTGGTGGATAACATCTGTGGTCAGTATTTATCATAGTTTTATATCAGTGAACATAATTACAGGACGTAGTTCTGAGCTGTAAAACAGAATCCCTCTGTCTGTGTCATCAACACAGAAACCTCCATCCAACATGCAGAGACAGTTTATGCTCAGGGAAGGACACTTTCTGACACTTTAAACCTTCATTTCACTAAATAAAGGTCAGTGTTGGGGAGTAACAGATTACATGTACCAGAGTTACGTTATTATGAGTAACTGAATTCAGTTACAGTTACTGTTTCAGTGAGTGGTAATTGGATTACAGTTACTTTGTTAAAATAAATGGATTACATGGCAGTATTTTCCTGTTTTCACATTTTGTGCTAAACCAGAACTAAAACCAGGACTAAACAATATTACAGCTAACATTAGGGTGGACATAATTTAAAGCAGCAGTGATCTCATATAAAAAGCATTTCTCTATCAATAATATTTTTAATCTGGTTAAGTAAAGTCTGTGCTTTTTATTGTTTTTTATCAGACAAAACATCACATGTTAAGATATTCTAGTCTTTTCGTCTCTGCAGCAAACAACCTGTTCATGGAGACTTGGGCTCAACAGACAATTTGAAGAGAACAAACAAGAATTTTCAGGATGTGGTTGCTACGTCCATGTAGTTTTTTTAAAGGCATGACAGTATCCAGTAGTAGTAGTAGTAGTAAGTAATCCAAAATATTCAGATTACGTTACTCACTTTAAGTAATTTAATGGATTACGTTACAAACAACATTTTGGTGTATGTAATCTGTAATCTGTAGGAGAATACATTTTAAAAGTCACCTTCCCAACACTGATAAATGTGTAACTATTATTGAGTAAATTAAAGATGCACTGTGTAACTTTCTGGAGGTGTCACCTGCATCTATATGAAATAGAAAGTTAAAACTATACTTTAGTTTATGCCATATGGTTTATGTGATACTGAGGAATATTAGAGCCAAAGAAACAACGTTTCCATGGAAACAAGCAGGAGGAGGTGTTTCTTCAGGCCAAATAAGAGTCAGGTTTATGGAGATGTATGTTTTTCAGTATAATAAACACATAAAAAAGAAAAAGCATGTTTTATTTTTGTTTACTTTTTGGGCTAGAAAGTTACATACTGTGGCTTTAAACATGTTTTGTTCCTTGTTTACAGTGTGGTTGCTAGGTAACAGATTTGGAGCTACAGAGGCCTTCCAGAGTTAAACCATTTTAATCTGATTATTGCACTAGAAAAGCACCGCTGCTCATGTCCTAATTCTAAAAGCGTGGAAATATGTGCAATAATAAAAGTGTCTGAACACAACCTCCTCACGTTTGGATCTTTTAGTCACGAGTCAGAGGGTCAAAAACAGCTGAGCTGACATCTCTGAGCATATCAGTGACCACTCCCATAAAACCAACCATAAAATGTAAAGATTGAAGAGAGCGCCCCCTGCTGGGTTTATGAACAATCCACTGCCCTGGTTCAGATCATGTTTAATCTGCAGCGCTCAGGTTTTACACTCTAAACATGTCCATATGTTCTGTCATGTACAGCCACAACAGAGCGAACAGACAGACAGACCCAGATACACCGACACACAAATGTGACGTGAACAAACAAACAAAACACGACTGCAGGGATGTTTAAGATGGAATATGAATAGAACATGGGAAAAAAATCATTAAGCTGTTTTTAAAGAATATGGCCAATTCAACTGTCAGGATCCACTGACAAGTGCACTCTTGAAATCTGAAAACGAACCAAAATACTTATTGGATTTGTCCTGGTTCAGTCCTTGATTGGTTCTGGTTAGATTCTGGTTGTGTACAGGTCAGTAAATTGCAAGGATGGAAAGTAATGAATTACATTTACTTACATTATTATAATTGAGTAGTTTTTATGAGTAATTTTAAAGTTTTTAAGTAGCTTTTGAAACAGGTAATTTTATTTTTACTCGAGTACATTTTGACCCACATATTTTTCTTAAAAAAAAAAAAAAATGTGTCAGTGTCAGTGTGCAGTGTGTGCAACATTTTCATCTTGCATACTTAGATTTTGGTTTAATTGTCTTTCTTTTTCATTGCAGTGAGTTGTTGTGACCATATGATTCAGAATTTGTTAAATTGTTATTATTATTATTATTGTTTTTAATTTGTTAAATTTGTTATGCAGTTAAAGTTCTAAGTTCTATAAAGTTCTATAAAAAGAAGGAAGAGCTCAATGTTGGTGTTTACTCAGTGTTCAGCTCAGTTGTCTTTAAAATGTACAATGTTTTCAGTGAACAAAATTTGTCTGTATCACCTAAAAATGTATTCAAACAACTTGTTCTGGATTAGATTTATGACTCATCCTTTTTAAATCAAATCATTGCAAATAACCAAGTAACTTTTACTCAAATTAGATTTTAAATGAAGTACTCTTTTACTTAAATGGTCACTTATACTTGAGTAGAAATTAAGCAAAGTAAAGATACTTTTACTTAATTTTTCACTACTTTTTCCACCTCTGGTAACTTGTACGGTGAATACTTGCATGGGGGTACCACAAGGATCAACACTGGGCCCACTCCTATTCACTTTTTATATCAATAATCAATAATGCCTGTTATTTTAGAACATCTATGACACTGTTGTCTACAGGCAAAAACCAAGAGCCAAGCTGCAACGACCTCATGGTGTCTGTATAAAAACATGTTAAAGGATCCATGTTCATCTGTTTTCTGCTCTCTGTTCTAATGTAGTTTCCTCATCACAAACAAACCCTGAGTTGTGCTTTGTTTTGTTCCGACACTTTATAACTGACTCTGCATATTTAGGTTGAATTCTTCTCTCAACACAAAACACTTCCACCTTCTGATGTCACGTGGTATTACAGGAAGTGCTCCACTGTGGTTTAGACATAGGTTTAGATGTTTTCTCTATACCTTTGAAAAGTTCTTACCTGGTGAATGGTTCCTTCAATCTCCACTGGAATGACAAAATCAGCCTTGTTCACGGGCTGCAAAACAAAAACACAGATTAGACCTGGAAGCAGAGGGTTAAATTTAGCGTTAGCCAATTTAGCTCGTCCAATCGCGGCAGTGTTCTTCTCTTTCCCCCAGACTGTAAATAACACAGGGTTGCCATGTTGGAGAAACAGATCCTCTTTATAAACACTGATTTATTGGGATGAAACTCAAGTCTTTCAGTGACAGACGGAGCTGCAACTGGAGTGGTCTGAATTCACCAGGACTGAGATCATGAGGTGAAGTCTGAACTCAGAGCAATTACTTTACACATATTTACTCTATATGGAAGTATTAGAGACACTATATGTGGCTGGAATCAAAGCAGAAGTAAAACAGGTGGTTTTCAGATTCTAGAACGTGATGACGTGATCCTCTGAGATGGGCTCAGATGTAGTTTTCCCTATTGACACAATGCACTTTACTATGGAATCTCCAAAAGGTAAACTCACAAATGTTGAACCTGATCATTTCTGTTAGTGACTAGACCTAAGAACAGAAATTTGCATTTTAACAATATTCACTTGATTTGCCCCCGTCTGTATTCAATATTATTGGCCTATAGAATATGAAACCCATCACTGATTTTGAACACATTCTCACTGATTAACTGGCATCAGATCTAAATGTGGATGAGTCAAGGGGGTTTGGTCTCAGCTTTGGTGGGGACATTATCCCCATGAAACCAACTGATAGGTTACTGATTAACAGATTCATTAAATAATATAGTTTCCTTTTCATATGATGCACAGTGCAAAACCAAACAGCACATGTTTATAAGAAAGGGTCAGATGGGATCAGAAGTTGTGTGTATGTTTTATGAATTCTTTCCACAAACACACAGAGTCTGGGCAGGTCCAGAATAAGTGAGACGTGGTTTCATTTTTCAGTTTGTGTCCATTGTTCTTCTAAGATGATTGTTTAGCAGGAAAACAGTGATGTAGAAGTTTGGAGCAGATTTCTCTTTGCTTGTTGGTGATGAGATATTTGTGAGGTCATGTCCGTACATTTTTCCATGGAATATTGTCAGTAGAGTCGGGGTCTCACAGAGCATGAGTAAGGCTCCGTTTGGGAGGTGCACTTGTGCTGATAGTTGCTCTTTTTCTGCGGCGACTCATTATAAGACAAGTTTAACTGAAGATGAAGCCAAGTAAGTTCCTTTTGAAAGTTTGGTGCAGCGTCTTCACTCATGCTGCTCAAGCCGACATCTTCAGGTGCGGCCCTGTCCTGCCGCTTCTCCAGTTTAGGCTCGTGGCTCCACTAATGACTCAGTCTGTTGCAGCCAATGAAACAGAGGCAGGTGTAACCCTGTCGTCGTATCACTGAACACATCTCAGAACGTCTAATAAACAAAATGTGAACTAAAACATGTTCAATTAATACTACTGAGTTTGGAAAAATATCAGAATAAATGTATATGTTTGTTTATTAAAAGAAAATGGCAAATATTGGTAGGGGCCATTTTGTCTTCCCTAAATATTAGTTGTGACATGTCCTCACCGTCCCTATGCAAATCTACGCACTTGGAATGAGTTTAAAGGAACTGGGTTTAAAAGATTTGATTTTAAATTTCAAAAACTCTTTCTGTCCCCAGACAAAAGTTACACATGTTCAAATCAAATATCATTTTTACTGAGAACTATTGTGATGTGAGAACCAACTCAAATGTTGTGGCTGTACTTGATCTTAAAGAGGCCAATACAGACACAACTTTTACCCAAAAGTCACATTTTTAACAAATCTGCACTAAAATGACAAAATAAGGCTAAGGATAGAGATACACTTCTATTGTAGACCCATTTACACAGAGAATCAGTAGGAAAAAAAAGTGATTTTGGTGTTTAGTGGCTCTTTAAAAACAGTAAGAGTGCAGGATACAATTTAGAGCAGCAATTTAGAATTTACAAGGTAGAGGGATAGTGGCTAGTTTTCTTTTCTGTCAAAAAAGGAAACGAAAACACCTACACAGACACAGGGAGAACATGCAAAGGCCCTGTGAAGTAAGTAAACAATGCTGGAGACCACAATACATGCATCCTGAATTTCAGACTTCCGGACATTGAGCAATGCATACTGGGAAGGATCCTCTGAAAAAGTGAGCAACAAATCTCCCGGTGTGATATGTTTTTTGACAAAGTCGATCTTTTCTAGTCTTTTGAACTTTTGTTTCTGGTTCTGATGTTGTCATATTTTAGTTTTGGGATTCAGACATTGTAATTGTGTGGTTGTTGGATCTTAACAGCTGAAAATGGATTTCGGAAGTTTGCGAACTCCATAAGTGCAAAAGGGAATCAGATCTGTGCGACTGCAAACTTCCATGAAACATGAAAAATAGTGAAAGGTGAAGGCGATGGGCAGGATTGATCCACAGAAAGGACCAAAAAGGAACAACGTGACAGTGAACATTTTGTATGTCGAGCGCCAACAAAGCAAAATCCCGTTTGTTCATTGAGAGATACAGAAGACAAACAGACTGAGCTGCACTTTCTTGTTCTTGTGGTTTTACAGCAACATCACGTCTTGGTCTCTTTGCAGTGGAAGGTGTTTCTTGATGAACAGCTGGTGCCTTTCGCTTTGGCGTTGACTTTTTAAATTTGTAACCGAGGTTGAGGGATCGTGGTTTTGCTTTGTTGTCGTTCCACATACAAAACATTCTCTGCAAACTCGGGATGATTTAGACAGTCAAAGTTTTCCTTTTTGGTTCTTCCTGTGGATCAATCCTGCCCATCACCTTCACCTTTCACTATTTTTCAATTCCGTTGGGAAGAGAAACAGTTTGAATGGAGGTTTGCAATCACACACATCTGATTCCATTTTGCATTTATGGAGCTCGCAAACTTCCAAAGCCCATTTCTCGAGCCGTTTTCCGCTTTTAGGACATCCACCAACCACACAATTAACGATGTCCGAATCCCAAAACTAAAATATGACAAAATCAGAATCAGAAACAGAAGTGATATGGTTCAAAAGACTTGAAAAGATCGGCTTTGACAATAGACACATCCCACTGGGAAAACAAACATGGAGGTTTGATGCTCACTTTTTCGGAAAATCCTTCCCAGTATGAATTGCACAATGACCGTAAGTCCGAAATTTGTGATGCATGTATATTGCTCTTGGTTTGGACAAGTTGAGCTATACATGTATTACCAGCTTACATAAATGAGTCCTGGTTCAAGATGCACTGTGTAAATTTTGTGTTGGTTTAACCTGATCTGTTCACATGGACCTGAGGCTCAGCTCCAGTGTCACTGTCAGCTTCACACGCCTCAAACACGCCTCAAACACATTATGTAAACGCCATAGAATACACACAGCAGTACTACAGCAGGGTGAGCCAAAACAGGACAGGTTACAGTCAGGAAATGCATGAAAACATATGAGACAAAGACAGATACACACCCACTACTACAGTCTAAACAACAAAAATCACATACTTATCCAAACTGAAACTCGATCTTCATTTGAGCTGGTACTGATATTAAAAAAAAGTCACACACACGCACAGGACAGAGAAGAACATTTCCTGAATGTCTTTAGAATGATCCTGAGCTGTATCAGAACAAGTGTCAGAGCACATAGACCAGTACACACACATGGACACTATGAACCTACTGGACCACTGACCATTACACACATATAAGGCACATGGGAATAGAAATGAAAGTACTGTATTTTTCAGACTATAAGTCGCTCTGGAGTATAAGTCGCACCAGCCAAAAAATGCATAATGAAGAAGAAAAAAAACATATATAAGTTGCATTTTTGGAGGGAAATGTATTTTATAAAATCAGAGACCATGAACTGACATTTCCTGTGTAAAGTCAAGTTGTAGTAAAAACAATAGAAGAGAGAACAACAGACTGTTAACGTCACATATGAACAGTTCTTCAGATAAACTATAACATAAACAACAGAACAGAACAAGTTTACCAAACTCTCCATCTCACTCCAAATCACTAAATCTATTCAATTCTTCATCCTCGGTGTCACTTCTGAACAACTCGTCCTCGACCTCCAGAGGTAAACAGAGTCATCAGTTCCAGTTAGAATTATTCGTGTCTTTGTGAATCTCGACAGGATGGTTTCAGTGTCACTGAAGTCCAGACGTTGTCCATCCATCCAGTGACTTCAGGAAAGTTTCATGGTGCATCCTCCTGGTGTCACAATTTTCTCTCTCACTCCAAACTTTCTTTCTGCTGCTCGATTATCGTTTTCAACTGCAGATTTCACGACTTGCAGTTTGTTAATCTGCAGAATCTGATTTTGTTTTGGGGCATTTGTGTTCAGTCTTCTCAGTCTTTGTCTTTATAAGTTTGTTGAAATGTTAAATAGTTCAGTGGTGCAGAAGTAATGGTGCGATCGACTGACATGATACAGACAGAACAGAGGCTCTTTCTGCAGGAGACATGTGCAGTAGAGTGAAGTGACAGTGGTACAGGAGGAACAGGAGCAGCACATACTCACACACAAAGTTGAACACAAAGTTGAACCAGGGACCTCCTTTCTGTGAGGCAAGAGTGCTATACCAAAATTAGATCTGGTTTAAGCACTGTTTTATGCCTTTTTTAACCATAAGCTAAACAAATGTATATAAAACAAATCAAAATGTAAAATAAACTTTTTACCATTAACTTCTTGTAGCGTTGTCACAAAGCACATTTTCAAACTCAATTTCGATACGAAGGAATAAACTCAATACTGATTCTGATACCATGATGATAATCAAAACACTCTTTATTTAGACAAGAGAATGTAATTTTCCACATTAAATGTTTTAAGCATTTTCTTTTCTATTCCCATGTGTGTTATATGTGTGTAATGGTCAGTGGTGCAGTAGGTTCATGTTGGTCCGTGTGTGTACTAGTCTATGTGCTCTGACACTTGTTTGATACAGAGAAACATGATTCTAAAAACATTCAGGAAAGGTTTATTTCTGTTCTGTCAATGTGACTGTTTTAATACTGATACCTGCTCAAATGAAGATCTAGTTTCAATACTAGCTTTAGTATCGATTAGTATCTGAGTTTCGATACGTCTGACAGTCTAACCTCACATTTCTGATTCCAAAGCCAAATCCTTTTATCCCACATCCACCTCATCCATCAGTGTCATGTTTCAGAAGGTCAGAGATGATAATCTCCATGAAAGTGACACTGCTCTGTCTGCTCTACAGCTCTTAAAGGTCACAGTGATGGACGTGTGCAGGACCGTGTCCAACTCTGACCACGCTCTGGGTCAAATGTGCTTTAGGGGGTTGTACTTATTGAGAAAATGGGAAATGGCTCTTCTGGTCCTCTTGGCCCATCCTTCAGTGTCTCTCTGTTAGACCTGCATTTGACCCGTCCTTCAGTGTCTCTCTGTTAGACCTGCATTTGACCCGTCCTTCAGTGTCTCTCTGTTAGACCTGCATTTGACCCGTCCTTCAGTGTCTCTCTGTTAGACCTGCATTTGACCCGTCCTTCAGTGTCCCTGGGTTAGACTTGAATTTGACCCGTCCTTCGGTGTCTCTGGGTTAGACCTGCATTTGACCCGTCCTTCAGTGTCTCTCTGTTAGACCTGCATTTGACCCATCCTTCAGTGTCTCTCTGGGTTAGACCTGTATTTGACCCATCCTTCAGTGTCTCTCTGGGTTAGACCTGTATTTGACCCGTCCTTCAGTGTCTCTCTGGGTTAGACCTGTATTTGACCCGTCCTTCAGTGTCTCTGGGTTAGACCTGTATTTGACCCATCCTTCAGTGTGAGCTGACTTGGTGCTGGTGGATTTGGGCATGTTTTGGTCCAGGTTAAAGATGGGTCAGGTGATTTTGCCGCTGGAGGGTCTAACGTGCATCTGCTTGTTTCCATGGAGATCTTATTGTGCTGTCTGGATTGTTCACAGTATGGCATTGCATTTATCTGTCAAATCCAGATACATATTGTGGATTGAAATAGTTTTAAAGTAACTTTCTGGAAGCGTTACGTCACCAGAACAATTCCATGGAAATAGAAAGTTACATTTTATAACAAACTGTGGAATATCATAGCAAAAGAAACAACATTTCCACAGAAACAAGCAGGAAAACACTCTCCTCCAGGTCAAGTAAGAGTCAGGTTTGTGGAGATTTGTCTTTGTCTGTCTACATTATTACTCCACTCTGGTCTCTAAGAGTTGTGAAAAGTGCTTATAAACTCATGGTGGTGAATAATTAGAATACTCAGAATACATAAGGTACATTTTTTGACTGTTTTTCACTTTTTTAAGAAGTAAAAAACAGATACAAAACATTCCATAAGAAAGCCTTACTTCCTTTTAATGTTGAAAGTTGAAGTTCCGAAGTGGGGCTTTTGTTACGGTGGGCATGATTAAACAGAGATGAGCTCAGAGTCTGTTCTGAGCCTGGCCAGCCCCTCATGTTTTTGTGTATTTCTGGCGCTGGGTGTTATAAATACTCTGGAGTCATGTGACCACGCTTCTGCAACCTGAGGAGAGATGCTGCTGCTAATGAGGAGCCCAGGACCACAGGGGTCGACCAAACCGCCCGGGGAGAGAGCTCAGGGCCGTTAGAGCTGCACTTTATGTTTTAATTGGGGGTGTGGTGTGAACTGTAGGCACAGGCTCACTTAATCAAGTATGACTTTAATCTGAGCTTTGATTTAACACAATCTGATCCGAAACTAGACCAGAAAGAGGAGCTACATCAGGTGATCTGATTTGTGCTCTTAAACAAGTCCCTCAAAGAACATCACAACAGTTTTTAGTTAGTCACTCTCACCTTTTTGTTGAAACTCAAATACAACCAAAAATAGACAATGGTGTGGCTCGGACTGATCGCAGACTCCTGAAAATGTGCTTTTAAATGAAGTTTTTGCTAATGTGTGCATTGTGTCACCATGGCAACCGCTGAACATTCTGCCATAGACATACACAAAGAGCCCGCCCCTTTGCATACAGGCCTAAAAATAAAAATATTGGTGTTACTATAGCGTTATAATAAAGATCTAAGTTTGAGAGGCAGGACTATACTCAGACTCAGTGACCCATTTCAACTTCTATTTAAACCGTGTCTGGGGAGATTCTAAATGTAGCATTTGAGTTTTGTTTTTGACTAAAATGAAAAGTGACACGACTGACTCCAGTTCAAACATGACCCGTCCTGTGCAGTTTTCACTCATGGGAAGTAATGGATCTTAACGGTGCTGTTAGTGTCATAGTACTTGAGCCTGGTCTTGGTCTTGGTCTTGAGACCGGCCTCGAGACCAGCGCTTTTTTACGGTCTTGGTCTCTTTTCGGTCTCAACTGACTTTGGACTCGGTCTTGTCTCAGTCTTGAAGGTGCTTGGTCTTGGACTGGTCTGACACTTGATGAATGTGAACTAGGGATGTAACAATATCCAAATCTCTCAGTACATTATTTTTACAATTTGCATCTCTCGGTAAGATATTTATTGCAATATTTTGTGGAGACTAACAAAACTGTGAATATGATACTTTTTTCAACTTAAATCACCTTGACAAGACTTAACCCAAAGAACTAAGACTTCAAAATGTTAGAACTGTTATTTCTTCTTGTAGTCTGCACTGAAAAGGTGCAAAGAATCATGGTCGATGTAGTTCCCTCTGTCGTTTTTTTAGCCTTTGCCGCACCATAACTCTTCATTTAAGCGAAGAGTTGTAATATACTTGTAATTTGATCTATTGTAATGGCCCACGATATTACTGTGAGAACTTTGACAATACGGTATCACAATATTTTGGTTATTGTTAGATCCCTAATGCCAACATATTTCATTATGGCCGGTAACTGTACAAAGGCTGCGAAATATCACTGCAAAACTAATGAGATCATGTAACTGTAAATGTGACGAACTTTGGAAAAAAAAAAAAAAAAAAAAAAACACTTGATTCACTTTGCAGTTTGTAAAGTGGGATTAAAGAAGGGGTTCTCAAACTGTGGGTGAGTAATACAGTTTGCCTGTCTTATTTTAGGCCTAAATTCAAATTAATTAGATCAAATGGAGATAGATTTATAAAAACAATGATATAAATGTGCCAAAAATTAATGTAGGAAATGATAGAGATGGTCTTGATTTGGTCTTGATGGGCTGTGGTCTCAGTTTTGTCTTGGTCTCGACTTTTAAAAGTCTCCATCTTGACCCTCAGAGGTCTTGATCTGTCCTAGTCTCAGGACCCTGTGGTTTCGGACTTGTCTTGGTCTCTATAAGTGCAGTCTTGACTACAGCACTAGGAGCTGTATCTCACTTTTACCAGCCTAAACATAGCACTGGTTCATGTGAAACAGTTTGCAGTGGTTCAGAGTTCTTCCTCACTTCCCTTCTGCAGTCAGAGTGTCCTAATGATTCACCGCGATGAGTTTATAAGTGTGATTCAGTTTGAGTGCTCTGACCTTAAATGAGCTGTGGACCAGAGTCTCGTCCAGGTCGATGACCACACACATCTTCCCCGAGTCAGAGGAGTGCAGTCTGGGCAGGAGCGGCTCCGAGGGGCCCTGGAGAGAGACAACACTGTTATATTCAGAGACTGTAAGTATGAATGGACATAGCAGAGTTTCAAATGGGAAGTGAGCATGGGCGTGATCCAGCTCCATCTGCTGCAGTTCTCTTTCTATTGAAAAACTGTCATCCCTCTCTCTGTATCTGCTGCTGTGAGCCTCGTCATTTTGGTGTGGAAAATGTTCGTATTAACCCACTCTGTGTTTTATTTCACTATTTTGTCCCTAAATAAAGATATGGACATTAATTACAGACAAGACCACTCCTGCTAAACCAGTGGTGCCAGTGGGAAGGAGCCTTGCTCCTCTTGGTCAGAAATCCTAATATGGAGCTCAGCTCCAAATGAGCCACTATAACTGCAAGCCCTGATGAGCTTCATTTGGCTGGATTTCTTTATGCAGGATATGATGATATCATCATCAAGAGACCCTCGAGGTCATACAAGTCTAATCCTGCAGTTCCTCTGCCAATCCTGAAGAAACATGTCCTCCAGACAGGTACTCCTGATCATCAAAGAGCCACTAATGTCATTGTGTCCTAACCATTGGTGAATATTTATTTATTTATATTGGAGGGGCTGATGGTGCAGATTGGCAGCCTCACTTCCATCAGTGTGTCCCAGGGCAGCTGTGGCTGCAACAGTATCTGTGAGTGTGGAGTGAATAATGAGAGGGTGAGAGGCTGGTTAAGCTCCTAAAGCTCAGGACACGTGTAACGTCTTTATTCTTCTGATGTTTCTACAGACGAGAATAAACAAGTCCATCAGCTCCTGTCTATCACAACAAAGAAGAAGTGTGTGAGTGTGTGTCTGTGTGTCTGTATCTGTTTGTGTATGTGTAGGGGTATTTACGAGGCTTGGTCTGTGTCTTTTGTGCTTCCATGAAGATAGTTACACAGGAACGTTTGAGACAAATCAGTGAAATGTCATGGAGACAGTGGGTGGTGAACTCTCCTGCAGAAATGTTACACAGTGCAGCTTTGAGGTATGACATGGAGTGACTGTGGATCAGTCTCCAAGTCAATGTAATGTCCCCAAAAGCCTGTAATCCCAGTGTGTGCGCGCGTGTATGGGTGTGCGTGTGAGGACTGTATCGTGTGTCCTTCATACTCTCTGTGTACTTTCTCTGTCCTGAGGTGCCAAACAGCAGCTGTCATGTTGTACAGTTTAAATAAGACTTTTCACTCAGCACGGATCTGTCTGAGCACATTCTCCAGCAGAGGGCGCAAATATAAGCACGACAGGCTAAAAACAGGCACAAATCTACAAGAGGGAGGGTTCGAGGGAGTAGTGTTAAACTGCTTGTATGTACTACAATTACAACTGAACCCGTGTCCCAGAGACTTCACCTGTGGAGACACATCCAAATGTGTCTCATTCCAAACTCAAAACTTCTAAAACTCCAAATGAGAACAAAGAACCAATGTTTTTGTCATTCAGAATAAATCAGCATTACAGTTGTTCTGAGTAAAAGCTGTTTGGTTTGAATATGTTTAACTTGTATCTGGTGACACATTTTAAAGTATATTTTGAACTATCAGGCACACTTAAAATTGTTTAATTTTCTGAAAACTAGACAGTGCACATTATGTATTAATTCTGGTTGTGTTTACTGACCTCAAACTGACTTTATGTGGCACACGGTGCTTAAAAATCTGCCAAAATGTTTTAGTATGACTTTGGTAAACTACGAAGTCGCACCATGTGATGGATTGTTGGAACATTACGGCGACTGTAGTCAGGAGCCCGACAGAGTAAAGGGCGAAGTAAAGGGCGAACTATAGTTCTGCATTTGTGACTTCAATGAAATGCTACAGAGAATATATGACCATTCATATATATGGTCTATGCATATGACCTACAGACTTAGTCCGACAGCTGAACTGCATCAGTGCACAAGGAGCAAGCTGTTTTTTTATAGCTTATAGTTTATGCAAATGAATCATGTAGTTTTAAGTTTCATTTCTGTAAAACGTAAACAAATGTGTCAAAGCTGCATTAAACACATTATTACTAAATGTATATTTGAGTCGTCCTTGTAGGAAATAAAAAAAACAAACTTAAATGATCCACCCACATTCACATTCATAACACACACTCACCAAGACAGAGAGGCGACGGCAGGCGAGTTACACCACGATCTGCCGATGGATCGTGGACGCCTGGACTAAAGATCAGACTCAAGTGTCGTCTGTTTGTTTCTCTTAATGTGCCTTATAATCCAGTGCAACTTATGTATGAAAATAGACAAGAAAATTCAACATTGCTGATATTGCAATATGGTGTGTTTTAAAGTCCAAAAAAATACTGTAGTCTTGTTTATGGATTTCAAAATCAAAATCTTACATACAGGTCCTTAAACTAAACATTAGTTTATGTGAAGAGAGGCTCACTTTTATGTAACTGTTGTAAGTCATACACTTTATATATATATATATATATTTTTTTTTGCAAATTAGACAATGTTAATTCTATTGTATTCCTGCATGTCCCACTTCCTGTACATATTCTCTTTCACTTTAGTGTTACACTTACAAACACAGACACCACAGCAGAACTTTGAATAGATTTAAAGTTACTAGTAACTAAACCTGGACTAGCTGGACTAAACCAGGACTACATTTTTCTAATGAGATAGTTGGACCTGTGTGTGTTTTTGTCATTTTGTTATCAGGCTCAGTTTCTGTAGCAAGGCTGGCACCACCTAGTGCCTCTGCTCAGTTTCAATTCTCTCCAGCGTCTAGGTCAGGAATCAGAATACACTAGACAGTTCACAAAAACCCCGGAAGTGTGATTTCTGGCACCAGCCAATCAGTGAAGAGACAGACATTCTGTGTTGTCAACGATTCCTGAGATCGAGGATTTAAAGCCGGAACAAAGAAAATGTTTGGTAAATTTTATCAGGGGGAAAGACGTTATTGTCCTTCTTCCTACGGGATTTGGGAAAAGCTTAATATACCAGTTAGTCCTGTTAGCGACGCATTACAGACGTCATGACCAAACAGCAGCGATTGGTTAAATTAAAAAAGTACCCACCTACTGTTGAGCAAACAAATTCTAATGCTGTGAAGACAGAGGGTTTCTACAGAGTGAAACCGGCTGATGAATCAGGCTACAGTTTCTGTGCTTTGTCTTATTTTTGTGAGCACAGAAAAATCCCAATTCACACATACAGTATATGCAGCAGTGAAAGGAATAAACAAACACTGGTCCAACTATTATCATCCTTTCTGTATAAATATTTCTGACAAAATACTTATACAGAAAGTATGATAATATACTCGCAGACTCTGTCATGTGTCAGAATTGTATATTACAGACCGACATGCAGATCGTGACAAGGCGACCAAAAAAATCTCTTGCGACTCAGTCTTTGGGAAACAATGGACTAGCCATGGAGCACTATGGAACCTACCTGGAGCACTGAGGAATTACACACATATAAGACACATGGAATAGAGCAGAAAGTACTTCCATTTAATGTGGAAAATCACAGTATATTGTCTAAAGAAAGAGTGTTTTGTATTTTCATTGTGGAATCAGAATCACTATTGAGTAATGAGGCTATTCCTTTATATGACATGGAATCTGAAACTGTAGTATCGTGGCAGTACTAGTGTGGACAGATCTGTGTGTGTGTGTGTGTGTGTGTGTGTACGGACATGTGGACAGACAGGTCTCGTGATGTTGAGGTCAGATCTCTAATCACTCCCAGTGGGACAGGGCAGTTCAGCTGTGAGTAAAGCATCTTTTGTTTATACCCGGACATGACCTAAATCTGTCCTAGTGTCAGTGTTAGGGCATCTGATACATACGGACCGTTTCATTTGACGCGTTAACGCTGAGATACTGAGACACACATAAATTTAGACCTAATTAAACATATGCACCACCGGCTGTGAGCTGTACGTTTGAATACTAGGCCAACTTGAGTGTAAAGCATCAGTGTGTCGTGGTGCTTTGTCAGTCGGGCTGCAAGAGGAATCAAACTGACATTGCAGTTTTAATGGATGCATTTAGCAAATCACATTTTTCAAGTACCACCATTTCCCCACAAACAGTATCCTGCTTAAAAACTGCTCACCCTGCAGGTTAGATCTGTACAATCATGCTCGGAAATGTGATTCTTGTATTAGGTTGTAAATGTAAATATTGAAATTAGACACATTGACTGACAATGTTTTAATGTTCCTACTATAAAAAAAGAAAAAGGCTACAGAGCATTTAACTTCAAAGCCCCAAATGAACGGGACAGCTCACCCTCCTCAATTACAACTACATCGATCCACCAGTGTAAGACGACAGTCTCCAGATACAAATATCCTGCTCCTGTTTTCCATTAAAAAAATTGTATATTGTGAATGTTGTTTTTGTGTTGTGTTTGGCTTTTGTTTTATTCTGTTCTTCCTTTTCTGTCAATGCTATTTTTGTTCATATATTTAGGAGCCCCTCGCAAACAAGATGTTAAATCTCAAGGTTCTTCCCTTACACTGGCTTCCCACACATTTTCACTGACAAAATTTCAAATCTTTTCCATGACTTTTTCATGAGCTAAAGTGAATTTTCCATGACTTTACAGCACCTACATGTGTAGAATTGATCAGACTTTTAGGACTAAATCTGAAATGTGAACTCTTTCCACTCACCTTATGCAGATGTTTGGAAAAATCAGAATAGTCTAATGAGAACTTAACAGCACGCTGGAGTTGTGTGAAACAGATACTAAAATTCTATGACTTTTCCAGGCCTGGAAAATGATATTTTCTCTTTCCATGACTTTTCCAGGATTTCCATAATTGTGGGAACCCTGCTAATAAATACATTTTGTCATTTAGACGTGTTTAAAATGTAAACTTTGAGCAGAATCTTATTCTATATAAAATACAAGTGTAAACACAATTGCTGTATGTATAAATATATATATATATATATATATATATATATATATATATATATATATATATATAATATATATATATATATATATATATTTATTTTTTTTTTTTTTTTTTTTTTTTTATTCAGCTACACTTTTCACTCAGTATTTTTCATGACTTCCCTTCAAATGTGTAAATGTATTGAAACTTCCCGCAGTTGGGTTTTAACCTTGTTCTTGTGTTGTTCTCAGAAATATTCCTAGATTGTGTTTTGTTTCGTTCACATGTTACTTCTGTGGTATGGACTAACCCTAACCCCATCTGCCTTTAAGCTCTCACACACTCATGCAGCACATTTATACTTCAAGTCAAGTGTCTTGTCCAAAAGCACAATAACGCACAATAATAATGGGTAACTGAGATTGGGAATTGTCAATCTAAAGGTAAAAGGAGATGTTCACTTTGAAAATATCTCTTCATGACTAATAATAAAGGATTACTCAAAAATGTGAAAATGAAACAAAACACAACTCCAGGTCTGTTTTTAACATGGTTAAAACATTTAAAGCTCACAAGAGGCTCACAAGAGTTTTGCTTTTCTTATTATATTATATTATTTATCTTATAAGTGTAGCAAAATGTATTTTCATATTTGACATACAAAAAGTCTTATTCCACTGGCAGATAATTTTACTTGTCAAGTGAAATTTACTCAAATCATGATCAAACTTTCTTAATTCAAATCATCTTAAGTTGACTACATTTTATTTTTTTGCAGGTATATCTGTCATTACTGAGCCTATCCACATGAAACAAGAACTGGGGCAAAGTTCAGCATCTTCTCTATCAGGAGAAATAAACTAAAGTCAAAAGATCTTTTCGCAATAGTGTCATAAAGTGGTGCCCCCAAAAGCAATTCAACTCCAAAGATGTGTTTCAGTGAATCTACTGTAGAGTTATATAGGCCCCTCCCCTCCACCTGAAACTATGATATTCAAAATCTTCCCTCCCCCTTTCCTCTCACCTGTTCAGTGGGCGGGACGCAGTATTCGCAGTCGCACTCCTCCGCCTCCTCCTCGCTCCCGTCTTCCTCCGAATCCCGACTTTCCTCCGAAGCCGTTGTTTTCACATTTTCCGCAACGCTGTGGATCAAACCTACGGGAGCGGCCACTTCCCGTTCCTCCGCTGCCGCCGCCTGGAGCGAGCACTGGGATAACCGCTCGGCTAAGTCCATCACCAAATCCTCTATGAACGCGTCGGACTGGCTCCAAAACGCGCCGCGGATGTCATTTTTCAACACTACATCCAACAAAAAGTCCCGTAAAGCTTGTTGGGATGATGTCTGAACGCTTTGGATTTTAAATGCGTAGTAGTCCTCAACATCTTCCTCAAATTCTCCTCTTTCCTCGTCCACGTCGAAAAGCGCGCAGTACGGTTCGCTTTCGGAGCAAGCTAACAACGCAACGTCTTCACTAACGCAAAACTCGTCCTCGAAATCTTCCGTTAAATCGCTAACTTCCGAATAATCGCAATAAGCGTCACCCTCCACGGAAATGTCCTCTGCGCATGGAGCACTCAACAAAATGTCGTCCAAGTTGGAATTTTCGCAGTACTCTGAGTCTTTGTCTTCAGTATAATCTTCGTACAAATAAGACTCACGCGCGACGTCCTCATTTTCTGCGTTTTCAATAAATTCTTGGTAGAAATCATCGTTTTGTTGTTCATTTTCGTCAAAATTACTGTCCTCGTAGACTTCTTCCTCCTCTTCATAATCATCTTCGCAAAAATCGTCTTCCAAATTGTCATCTAATTGTTCAGTCTCATAATCTTCCTCACAAAATTCCTGAATTTCTAAATTTGCTTCATTCTGCTCTTTCATTTCTTCTTGAATTTGCTCGAAATCATTTTTATTCTTCACGTTTTGCGCTATGGTTTGGAGATGTTCGTAATACAACCGATCGTGAATGTCTCCGCCGTCAAAACAGGAAATGTAGGGCTTTCTTTGCGAAATCCCGTAGTAATCGTCACGGTCGAAAAAATCAAAGTAATCCTCGATCACGATGTCCGTTACGGTTTTCTTCGTCTCGGTTTTGACGTTGGTTTCTACGATCTCTTCCACCTCCTCCTCCTCTTCCTCGAATGATTCCCACTGAGTTTGCTCATCGCTGGAATCGCCTTGGACGCTTTTATCGGAAACTTCGGAAGAATCGGAACACGGCGGGGAGGAGAGGCTGCCTTCCGGACACGTTTTGAAAGATTTGGAAGAACAATCGGACAACTCATCTTCCGAACAAAACACTACGCTCGCAGAAGATGTATCTGGTGAGGTTTGGCATTCTTCAATTTCCTCCACCATTTCGGAAAAATCATTGTCCTCAGTTGTACTATCGTCTGCAAAATCTTGTTCAGTATTGTCTTCGGTAGATTCTTCCTCGTCAAAATTTGAATTGTTCTCAAAAGTTTCAGTCATTTGGAGATTTTCAGTTGGCATATCTTCTGTATCTTGTTCAAAAAATTCTTCTTCTTCTGCTTCTTCTTCTTCTGCTTCTTCTTCTATCAAATTATCTGATATCTCAAACTTGGTCAAACCTTCACAATTTTCTTTAAATTCCTGATTCTCAATTTCTGCAATGTTTGGATTTTCAATTTCTTCTAATTCATAATCTTCTGTTGATGTTTCTTCGTCACAATTTAGACTTTCCTCTGCAGGTGTTAAATCTGGTTCTGTATCAGACGTTTCCAGTAAGTCGGTGTCGTCTTGCGAAATTTCAACTTCTTCAAAATTCTCAAATTCTTCTGGGAATCCAGTATCGCTTAAATCGCTGTTTCCATCTTCAAATATAATTTCATTACAAAAAAGCGGATCACAGGATTCTATTTCATATTCTGAATCTTCTGAACTTGTCTCACTTTGACTAGAACTTTTTACGACCTCACAAAAATGTTCAAAGTGTTCTGACAGCTCCGCGGACTGTTCCAAACTCGTTCCGTGGCATTGCTCTGCTGGTAATTGCTCGTCTGGCGTCTCTTCTTCTTGCTCGGACGTTTTGAATGCTCTGGAATTCTGCTCCTCCGTTTCCAAATGATTTGTCTCCGTGCGGAAAGACAACAGCGGATCACCGGGCTTACATTGTTGGGATTGGCCGAGGTGTTGTTCGCAGCAAAGCGCACAGGCGGATGAGATACTAAGATTAGCGCTGGGCTCACATGGTTTAAAACACTCACATTTGTCAGATCCTTGGCTTAACCCCGATGTCTCGCACTCAACGGGGGAAGGGTCACAGGTCAAAAATGCATTGTTTTTAGCGCTACTGCAAAACTCTTCCTCCTCTCTGCTGGAGTCGTTCTGCACGTAAACGATGTTAGAGTCCGTCCCTTTGCTCAGATCTGGAGGGAGTTGGCAGATCAGAACTTCTCCAGCGCTTTCTCCGTTGGCTTTAGCGGGCGCAGAGCTGTCCAGGTGCATCTTGGCGGCGTCGTTCACAGTTTAAACATGTCTCTCTGGGCTGGGGGTGGAGGTTTTTTCCCGTGGATGCAGAGGTCCAGTGCAGTCCCTGTGGAGCGTGTCATTGGAGGCACTGGCTGCTTCTACAGGCACATAGCACACATTGACATCATGACAAGTTGTCGCAACCAAAACTGTCAGTAGCACTTGACCGGGGCCCTCCCCTTCCCTCTCGCTTTGCTACCCCTCCCTTCTCTCCCCCCCTCTCTACCTCTCACACTTATTTTTCTCTCCCTTTCCTCCTCCCCTCAGAACATTTTTGCACATGGGCCTTTGAAGGTTGCCAGTCAGGTTTTTCTCTCACCCACAAATAAATGCAAAAATATTGAAACACTGGTTTTAAAGCAGATTTGTTGTGCTTGTGTCTGCGACGGTTATAATTTATGGCATCTGTGGATCATTTGGTTTTACTTTGGACATTTTAAAAGACTGGGTCGCAAGAGATTTTCTTTGGGGTCGCCTTGTCACGATCTTAGACTTAGACAAACTTTATTGATCCACAAGGAAAATGATTTGGGCAAAGTAGCTCACACATCACAAAAAAAAAAAAAAAAATAGAAAGATACGTAAAAAAATATACAATCTCAGCTTTATACAAGAGGTCATAAGAAGACAGTGCAACAATGACCTGATGATTGACAGGACATAGGGTTGTCTGTTACATAAGTGGGAGTTGTTGTACAGTTGTATGGAGTATGGTATGTATGTATATATGTATGTATATATGTATGTATGTATGTATGTATGTATGTATGTATGTATGTATGTATGTATGTATATATGTATGTATGTATGTATGTATGTATGTATGTATGTATGTATGTATGTATGTATGTATGTATGTATGTATGTATGTATGTATGTATGTATGTATGTATGTATGTATGTATGTATATGTATGTATATGTATGTATGTATGTATGTATGTATGTATGTATGTATGTATGTATGTATGTATGTATGTATGTATATATGTATGTATGTATGTATGTATGTATGTAGTCCTGTATATCTCACTGTCTGAGTGGATCTGCATGTCGCTGTGCAATATACAGGGCAACATTTAATGTCCAAATAGGTGACTTATAGATCCTTTTATTGCTGGATCAGTGACTGTTTTTCATTGTTTAAAACTTGAGTAATACTAATTGTTCAGAGACACAATCACTCAGTCAACAATACAATATCTTTATTAATGTGCAAAAAGTTCAAATCCACCTTTATTTTGTATTTTTTCGGGGCAAATAGAGATTTATATTCTTATACAATGGAACATAAAACTTTAGTGAAATAATAATGAAATGAAAAACACCACAACAAAACATTTTCCCAAAAAGAAGTGGGAAGAAGAAAACTTATTTAATCCAACCCCACTCTTCTAATCGAACACAATGAGCTTTCTTTTGCATTTTTCAGACATTTTGTATTAAACTATATGAACTATTTACAAGTACAGACAAAGAATCACTTATATCTCATAACAGCACAATCCAGCAATGGTAAGGAAACAACAAACATAAAGCAGCTCTACAGAACTCAGTACAAACTAGTTCGCTGACTGTGTTGGGAAACTGCGGTGCCCAGTGAGCGCTGATGTGGCCGTAAACATCGTGACAAAAAAGCGCTGCAGACCGTGGGCCCCTCTGTTGGAGAACTGCACGTCACACTAGCGAGAAGATTTTGAATAAAATTGGAGAACGAAGTGCATACGTCACAAAGGGCATGCACTGGTGATGGAGAAAACAGGAGTTGATCAAAACTCAAACTGGCGATTAAAGATTACTCAAACATGCACAATCACTCCAAATACAACTTCAGGTGAGTGAATTGTGAGGCAGTTTTGCTGAGGTGAGGTAAGGTGCTTTGTATTTGTTTAAACTGTGATTTAAATGCCTTTCTTTTTCTGTAAAGCCATTTGTGACCAGTTGTGTTCTTAAAAATTTTGCCTTACCAGAAATCGCTCAGTTGCAGATGACATAATTTTATGGACCAGTTATATTTAATACAGACGGAGCAGCTCAAATGGATCTTCAGCTGCAGATCTGTGTTGTGATACAGCGAGTTCTTGGCTCTAGTCACTAATAGAAATGATCAGGTTCAACATTTGTGAGTTGACCCTTTGTAGATTTTACGGTAAAGTGCAATGTGATGAATAGAACTGTCTCTTGACCCCATCTGAGAGTCAGACGTCACATTCGAGAATCTGAAAACCGGCATGAAAAGCAGAAGGTGCGTGCTTAAATCCAGCGTGCCAGAGTGACTATACTTAGACCGAATGTAGTAGCCAAAATGAAAACTGTACCAGTATTTGGCAACGTGGCTAGTGATAATGACAAACCATGCCTTCCCCTCTCTCCTCCCCCTCTCTTCCTCTCCTCCTCTCCTCCCCTCCTCCGTTCTCACAGACACATGGGGGAGTTATTTTTAAGTGCCGTGGCCTGAGACGTGACGAATGTCCAGAGAAGATCGAGTGTCTATAAAAAGGCTGGTGAGGCATAAATCTGACAGAGAGAAGCCAGAGCTAACACAAGTTGGACAGCGGGGGGCGCCGTCCATAGATCCAACCTGTTACGTAAAGAAGGACACTTCAGACTCTGCCAAATGGACCATATGATAAACCTGCAGCTTAGAGAGCAGGTCTGATACGGCTTCAGTGCAAGAACGAGAGCTGTCACGATACTAACACGTCAAACTCCAAATCAATATAGACAGAGAGTACAGCTCGGTCCCAGCGCCCAGCTGAGAGAGAGAGTACATCTCTGTCCCAGCTAGGGTTTGATCCCGCGATCCAACTCTTTCTCGATTCCCAGGAAAGGTTATGACGGGAAATAGCCTAATTAAAAAAAACAAAAAACAATGGTGCGCAACTATTTGCTGTTTTACAGTAATGTTGATGGAGGCGACGGTGCCGCCGTAACTACAGTAATAAAGGCTCACTTCATCAGCATGTCTGGGTCTGCAGCCAGTTTTGTATGTGGACACTTTCAAAACATTGACAATAATAACGCCAAGTGTATCTTTCTGCAGGAGACATGTGCACTCTGAAAACATCTGGCTCAAAAGCTGAGGAAGTCCAGCTGGTTTAGTTTAACCCATTGATAATTTCTTATTTCTGGATGTCACAACATTTGTGTCTGTGATTTTAGTCTGGATGGTCTTATGCTGGTTCATTTCTGTCCTGTGAATGGGACTTTTTTTGTATTGATACCTGCTAAAATGAATTTTGATACTAGTTTTACTATTGATTAGTATCTGATGTTCAATATTTCTGACAACCCGAGCAGGGACATCTTTTTATTCACGATAAGATTCAACTTTTTTTTTTAGGCTAAAGCAGAATAATTAAATAACAAAGTTTTCCCATTTTATTGTTTTTTATTCTTAATTGAAATTCAAAAGAACGAATAGTACATGGACCATGTAGCTTATCCAATTTTAAGTGAGGATGAATAATAATTAGATTTATATAATCTATTTATATAGGTTATTAAAACATATGAAAGTTACTTAACTTATTCATTTTTATAACTATATCAACACATAAAACTCATTTCTCAACACAATACCTTAAAAAAAAAAATAATAATAATAATAATGTGACCAATTATGAATTGATCCAATTATTGTAAATTAGTGCAAAATCTCATCTTTTCTCGTGGACCTTATCTCGCATCTTGCCTCGTTTCGAGAAAATTCTGTTTCGTCCCACTGTTACTTTAGTCAGGCTGGCGCCACCTTGTGCCTCTGCTCAGTTTAATTTCTCTCGAACAACTAGGTCAGGAATCAGAATACACTAGACGGTTTGCAAAAACCTGGAAGTGCGAGTTTCGGGCACCAGCCAATCAGAGAAGAGACAGACATTCTGTGTTGTCAGCGATTCCTAAGATCAAGGATTTAAATCCGGAACAAAGAGAATGTTTGGTGAATTTCATTAATGGGAAAGACTTTATTGCCCTTCTTCCTACCATCGAGCGAACAAATCCTAATGCTGCGAGGTCAGAGGGTTTCCACAAAGTGAAACCGGCTGATGAATCAGGCTACTGCTATTGAGCTATGACAAGTATAAGAGCAGATAGACCAGTACACACTCATGGACCTGGTTTAGACCACTGAGGATCACACACACAGAAGACACATGGGAGCAGAACAGAACATACCACTATTTAATGTGGAAAAATCACAGTATATTGTCTAACGAAAGAGTGTTTTGTATTTTCATTGTGGTATCAGAACCAGTATTGAGTATCGAGTCTGTCTCTGTACACACTTAAGTTTGAATCAAAGAAGTTTTATTTTTTAGGTCAGTTATAGAGGTCTCCATGACTATAATTAGACCATATTCCATAGAGGCTATATGAGGCTGTATATGAATGATGAGAGCAGATCTGAGAGGAGCTGAGGAGGTGCAGAGAGGAGGACTATTTTAAACCCCCTTCATGAGTTTACATGTGAAATACATGAGGACAGATGATCTGATGTTCACAGGGCTGTAGCTGTGAACTGTTTGCTCTAACAGTAAGTAATGTTGTCACTGGCTAATCTCAAAACAGACTATCATTCTAGTGAGATCAACAAATCCACACTGATATCTCTCTGCATTTTTGTATTGATACTTTGCAGCTGGTGTCATTTATATTCCCTGGGTGTGTGACGCTAACTGCAAGCACTACTCTGTTACAAGTAGGGTTGTAGTCAAGAGCGCACTAAACAAGACCAAGACCAATCTGAGACCACAGGGACAAGACCGAGACCTCTGAGGGTCGAGACCGAGACAAGACCGACACTTTTAAAGAACAAGACCGAGACCATGGCCTATCGAGACCAAACCAAGACCATCTTTGACATTTATTTGTATTTTTGACACCTTTATATTAATGTTTTATAAATCTATCCCCATTTTATCACTTGTCGAATGTCAGATCTCAAGACCGAGTGAAAATGTGGTTGAGATGAGAACAAAA